TAGACTTTAGAGCGACACTAAATATATAGATGGGCTATTTGTAATGATATTTAAAAATTTATTATCATAATAAATTTATAACAAATACCGATATAGGGAGAAGATTTCATGTTCGTCATTCACTGCTTCGCACTACTTCTCTCGCTTCCTGAACGCCTGGTTAAGTTTCCCTGAACTCACGTGTTTTCTGGCTGCAACTGAAACAGATAGATAGCCGGTGTGACAAATAAGGAAAGACAATGAAAGTGTACTCTAGCAAATCTCTGTCGACCTAGTAACATGGACAGTTAAGTCACATGTTTCAAGGCGTCCCCTCAAAGTTAAGTTAATATGAAACCGAAACTTCCCCTTGCTTTAAGCGGATATTGTCTTTAATTTTCATACAAAGTGTTCTTTTACCTGGAAAAGTAACAAACAAATCAAAAATCAAGATGACAGGAGTTAGTTATTATTCAATTAAGTTAAAAATAGTCATCAAAACTGAGGCACTATACAAAAATATATTAAATACACAAGATTCTTTCATTTGTAAAATCTCTCTCCAATAACAGAAGTAAAACTTCTGTACTCTCATAACTTCCTGGTAGTACCAACAAGAATCCAAAGAAGGTGGGTGAGATAGAATGGAAAAAAAAATCAAACCTCTGGGTCACTTGCTTACACAAAATGAATGTGATTATTAAAAAAAATTTTTAGTTAACAAATAAGATGTCACATATTTGTATTCCGTGGGATACATTTTGCAAATTTACAGAAACAAAAACATTTAACATTCTCCCAATTCAATTTTATAACTATCGTTTCCTACCGATTTGTGTTCAAACTTCTATTAAGCTAACCAATAGGAACAGCGGTTTGGAGAATCTAAATATAAACTAACTAGCTATTCAATATATTTTTGTCTACAACCAAAAAAATGAACTATTGCAGTAGCAACCAACAACAACAACAAACTATGCAAAATTGGATATTATTAATTGGATTGTTGTAATGTTATGTAGCTCTCGAGATATTTCGTCATCCTTTTTCACATCATCGATATTAATGATGTTGACCGAAACCTGACTGCATTGTTTTGCTATAAATTACAGATGGGCTTACGGTAAAAACTAGGTACCTAATACAAAACGCCTGCGCTCCTTACTGTTTCAATATAAACAATGCTAAAATCTTAAAAATGAATTACCGTATGCAATCACATTTCGCTACATTACTTTTTGGTATTATATCAGGTTCCATCTTACCTCTATCATAAGCCACAGTGGTTAAAAAGTAATACTAACGAGCATGTTACAAGAGCGTCTGTGCAATTTAGATTATGTTTTTTTGATTACCCACTCCGGTTGAAAGCTATTACATACAGTCCATTGCTTTTGTTTAATTATGTTTCTAATTTAGTTACAATTAAAGAGTCATAGTGAATACACGTCGTTTGAGTTTAAAAAAATCCCGATTAAATAAATTTAACCTTAAGTCTAAACAGCGTCACTGTTCAAGCTCAAAATGCCAATCCATAAAACGGCGGCGTTCCGAGGAAGTTTCAGGTTTTGTTCCACCAAGTGCTGGAATGACTTGCCTCCTCCTTTTCGCGACCTGAAATCGATAGGAAATTTTCGATATAAATATAAATTATTTTTATTACATAAATAAAAAAACTCTTAAACTTAAAATATATATTATTTGTTATTACTACTTGACGTTTTTAATTTTTACTCATTTAATCCGTTGTAGTTTTGTTTAGCCATTTATATTATATTCATATTTATAGTCACATACCTAAGTATGTATATTCTACATTAATTTTGACAAAATTATAATGTATGTGATTTTAATAATAATACAGAAAAATGGAATTAATTACAAAACATTTTACATATTATATATGTAGGTACTTGTTTATTTGCGGCTCGATTGCAATAGGCAAGTATCAAGGCAGCGCCTAGTGATCTGACCTTGGCTTCCTCGCTCAAATGCATTGTTTTTCCGTTTTTTTCTATAGGATGTCATCTTAACTGCCTTTCTCATATTTCGTATAGTTTTTATGAGTTATATCTTTAAGAGAAATTATAATAAGTTAATGTTTGATGTTAATAAGATATGTTTGGTAAATATAATGTTGGTTTTTGTTAAATTAAAATGTCATTGTTTTATACTAATTTCATTACAATTTTATACTATACATATTTATATCTATGACGTATTTAATAGAAATATGTCTTACCTATATTTGCTTAGTCCAACCGCTTATTAAAAACATAATATTACAATTAATTTTTTTTAGTCACTGTTGTATTTTATTTGGTTCGTCATGAGTACATTTTGATTAAATAAACAAGACGCTTGTGGTGTTAGCCTTTAGACGCTACGGGCTGCACTGAGCGACCATTGAACAGCTTTGTAATATAATATTATTATCTAAATGTTACGCCCTGCTCCCGCGCGTCCCGGCACACCTGCGTAGCAAGCGCGATAGATATATTATGTTTAATATTGTGTTTATTTTAATATTTTATATTATTTTATCTGTATTATTATTCTTAAACTTAACAATGTTTGTTACTTTAATGTAATTGTTACCGCTGTCAGTACCTCAACATTAGGAGATCACTGAAAATCAGTGTAGAAGCAACATTGCTTCTATTTTTTTACTGAGTGGTTCTCCTTTTGGTTAAACTACACTGCTGCACACTTATTATTCCTTTTTTTGTATACATAGGTTAAGTTTGACTCTGTTTTTATTTTGTAGTTTGTTTGATATGTAGTAATGGTGTAATCTTTTAACCAATAAACGTCTATTATTATTATTATTAATAGGTACGGGGTAACAACTAACTTCCATAAAAAATAAAAAAGCTTTCAACTGCCCCCAAACACGTGCTTTTGTGGCATAAGTACCAGGAGATCAGGAGAGCGTCGGAGTCAGTTCGGAAGAACACGCCCACTTGTTGACGGAGCTTTCAGGGGGGTGAGATGTGCACACATGCAAGCCTGAAGGTTAATCGCTTCCCAATATCATGTAATTTTAATTGTCTCTTTATATATGTATCAATATTAATATTTATAATTTTAAAAGTATATAAGCATTATTAGTGTAGTAATTTTTTAAACAATGCATTTTTATCACAGCTATAATTTACTTATTACTGAAATTATTTTAATGAAAATGTTACTACTTTTATCTCTTTGTAACTTTATTCATCAAATAAATTCTGGAATGTCTCAAATCCTATCTTATTTGAAATAATGTGAAGCTTCCTTTAAATGTATGTCATTTATGACATAGTGACATCCGTCGACTTAGATTTGCGTGATTCTCAAGATTGCTTTTTTTATGGAGGGGAACCCCGTCTAGAATTTACTCCCTGTGTGGGCAAGGAGCGGTGTGCGGGACTCGAACCCTGTATCCCTCTGAGGTAAACCGTAGAGCTATCAGTGTGACAGCACCGTGAAACCCTCTGTATTTTGCACATTTTGCGTCCGAACGCGAGCGGGAAACAAAACCATTGAGCGCAGGACGCCAACGTATTTTCACTGACATTCTGAGCGAGCCCCCCTCCCACGTTGAAATTCTCATTATTCCTGAATTAAGTATACTAAGTGCCTAAAATGGCTTTTCTTTAAAGTGAATCCTTCATTCAATTATCCGACAGACGCGAGAAAATGCTTTATGTGGTTATGACCAAACAAAATACAAGAAGCAAATTTAAACATAAGCTATTAGATGTCTTGACATTGTTTTCCCTGAAATTAATAACATTAATTTACATAAACGGTTAAAAATTATATTAAAAAAATAACATTGATAGAAAAAATATAGTTGAATATCTTCAGTTTTTCTAACATGATTTAGAATACAGGAAACTTCAACATCTGTTTCAAATTACAATAAAACGAAAAAAAAGAGGAATTTAGTCTACATAGTACATTGTCAGAAAAATATTAACGTCCCATGCTCTAACGAAGGATCGTAGCAATCTCCTAAGGTTTGTGTGGGCCCAACTCAAGAAATTTTACCCAAAACGAATAGAAAGAGGACTATTTACAGAAAGAAATGAACTCATCAAATTTTTCCTTAAAAATTATCAGTAATGATATTCTAAGTTGTCAATGGTTTCTCGATCACATAAAGATATAAATTCGCTTCAAGTATTCAATACACTATTGTATCAACGTAAGTACTACGCATCAAAATACTAGATAGCTGACAATCTATCTGTCAATAATTTTTTCTACGAATGACATAACTTCATGTAAAAATATTAATACCCATTACCTTAACCATACCCATACATATAAATACCCATTACCTTAACCCTCTGTTTTTGGGTAAACTGCTTGATTTCATTTGGCAGCTGTAATTTTTTTAATTATTATTTTACTATACTATGAACATTCTTTCATACAACCTTTGATAGGTTTTTCCGTTACTAAATCATAAAATATTTTTGATCTTATTCTTAATTATAAAGTATAACCTTTTATTCAACTTACCAACTAATAATTATGATCTTAGACTAAAATATAAATTATCACACAAACGCTCGACCAATAGATGGCCTACCTCGTATTAATTTCATTCTGATTTAGAACACAGAACTTAAATACAAAATGATTATGTATTTTTATTATTGATAATAAAAAAATATTAAAATGAGATAGGCATCTTTTTATGATTTTTATTGTATTTTAAACACAGAAACAAATGTTTTTATTACCAAACGTGAGTGAAAAAATTGTTTCTTAATCAAAATAAGTTACAAAGCGACATCTGTCTCATTTCGTCAACTTTGTGTACATTTGAGTACAAAAGAAATGATTTGAATGAAAACAACAACGCCACCCTGCTAAGTTTTCAATAACATTTTCATAACATAGATGTCGCTACTAGCAACGTTTGAATTATTTATAAAAAATGCTCTGACAAACCAAAGCTAAAGTGATATTTTTATATTGAAGTTATGTATTACTAGTTATTGTAGCATAAAGAAAGGTTTATATGTTTAATTATGTTCATGAGGTTCCTCTAAGCTCCTCCACTCTACGATAGCTTCACACTCGACGTAATAATTCCGTATCTGGTCCAGTTCCAACGTAATGACCTCCACGTCCTCCGGGCAGGCTGCGCTGTTGAAATCTTGTACATCATCGTAATATTCATCTGAACTGAACTGGTATTCGCTTCTTCTTTGCGTTTTATTTCTTAGCAGTTTCTCAGGATCATTGACTACAGCTCTAGTACTGATAGTTGCTGATTTGACTTCTCCATCATTTGTATTTGTTATATTCGTTGAATTTAATTCTTTGGAAACCAAAACCTGATTACGTTCTCGAGGTACACTGGCTTTGCACTTATCAGTTTCTATGTCATATGGATTGAAAGGAATAGCATTTGATGACACCAATTCTACCAGAGCTCCATCGTTTTTCAAAGACTTACGATACCTTTTAGCTTTTTCAACGAAAGTCTCTCCTTCACAGCCTTGAAGATCGTGCTCCATTTTTCTTAAATGTGTTATATGCCATTCATCATCGTCTAGATCTCGTAGGAAATTATTTTTTTCATCGTTTTCCACCTTATCGTTACCATTTAAACAGTTTATTCGGAACATAAGTAAATAATACCATACATATGCTCTCAAAAAATACATTATTTACACTAAAAAATAACGCTAAAAGAATTTCTCATTTCTGATATCAATGTTGCAACGGTTCGTGAAGCGTTTAAAAACAATGAAAATTATTTGCAAGTTTTACGACATTATCAAAAAAATATTCCAATAATGTAAAAAGTCTGATATTTATTTCAGCTTATCATATATTAAAAGATTTCAAGGAAATAAATTATATTCTCTTTGAATTTTGATGTTTTCTTTTCGTAATATAATCAGAACATAAAATAAAGATTAATTTTTTCAATGATAGCAAATAATTATTATTTAAATAACAAATGCAAAAAATCAATCGAAACTAGTTTTTAATATATAACAATATTTAAGATTTAAAGAGATTAAGGCATCTGTATACTTGATGATTTATTTTAATGATTATATGTATATTTGATGATTTATTATTTTTAGAGTTGCAGCTTCATACAAATATTTTTCCAACAATTCGTTTATGTTCCGTATTTGGGACCCCATAACGATTCCACCTAACATATTATGTAAACAGTCGTTCAACAGGTGTACATCTTGGTAAGGAAGTACAAAACTCAACTAATCTTGGATATAAGAATGAATAATTAAAAATATTTTAAACTATTTTGTACTCTATAAACATAAGGAATTTTTTATAAGTCTTCAAGAAAAAAATAGTTAATATAAACATTGTCTATAAAAAGTGTTCAAGAATAAAATACTAAAATCATTTTGAACAAAAATATATCATTTTTAAATGTACGTATGTATTAAAAAACCTATCTGTGATAATTTTTCAGTTATAATTAAGTTTTCATTCATAAAAATATCTGTAGTCGTCTTAATTATTCGCAGTATTTGGATGATAAATTTTCCTACTGAAATTATTTCAAGTGATTTTAAAGTACAATATATTTCCAAATATAATTTGTTCGTTTGAATGAAATATGTTACTACGGCATGCGAAATGAAGGAGGTTTTATGTAAGGTAAAGACGCCGTTTATAAAGACGCTAAACTTTAGGTATAGACGTATCCAAAATTACGGTACAAGCCTTAAAAAAATTTAACCGAAACATTTTTTTTAGATCAAATAACTGTCAACAAACTACGTTTATTAATGAGAGAACAAAATATAAAATAAATATCATATAAAATTTAATAATATCTCCATTATACAATTAAAACAAACATAATTAATTACACTCGATAACATAAAAAGATACATATTGTTAATTAATAAATGAATGGATTTAATCATTGTAAACAAGGTCTTTACAATGCAGGACCGCAGCAACTATTATATTATACAAGTGAAATAATATTGTATTATCACCACAATGACAGGGTAATAACAAGACTTAGAGAAGAAAGCCGCCCATCGCATCAGAGATCGTTATCTGAACTAACTAATACATTCATGTCGGCCCACCCTCCAAACACTAGAAAATACTTCAATTAGGATCCCCACACGATCAAAACAGCCCAATTACCTCGAAGCGACCCCTTTAATAAACCCTCGTTTGCTCAAAACTGAAATAAAGACGGATAAATAATCACAATTTTCGAGCGCCCTGAATTACCATCTCGTTTGAATAAATTGACACATAATTTGACATCGAGACCCCGCCCATCAGCGGAACATCGCTTTAGAAAAACGAACCTCGTATCGAGTCTAATATATCGAGGAGATCGAAAGCGCTGCAGCGCTGACTGTTCCTTGTAGTTGTTAACAAGTCGCTAAAGAGATGCAAATTGACAGCGGTTGGCAGCGGTGATACGAAACGGCACCAAAACATTTGCATAATTTGTTGCGAATGGAAATGTTCGGTTTGAATTCAAAGGATTGTTGGATGATTGAAACGCTTTGTAATGTTGTATCAACGTTTTGATTACTACAGCTAATGGCTTCCAAATACCTTCCCACTAATACTTCTTCAACAGATAATCGGTCAGAGACCATCGGAACGATTGATACCAATGTTGCCACACTGAAATATTAATAGCGTAAGGATATGAAATTAAACCAATGTTGCAATGAAACCTTTTTACTATCAATAGCTCTATTCGTTTAAAATTCAATCTAAGCAACTATAAATACGGGCTGAAAGTAATAAAGGTTGCGTATTTATTGCACATCCGTAACATGAGTTAACTTTAAAAATATATCTAACACTACTATTAACAATAACTACAAGGAGGTCATAAACAAAAATTAAAAACTTTGTACATTTAACTGCATTTCTTTAACAAAAAAAACATTTTGTAATTTGAGAAACAGAATATTATTTGAAATCAATGAAAATCTCTATAGTACTTATTTTAATGTGACATATCTTAAATCTTAATTTTTCGAGACATATAATAAAACTTTTAAGAAACTAGATAGCATATTTTTTGGATTAGTCTTTAAGCAATTACGAGTATGTCAGACAGTATTTAAAATTACAGATTTGCAAATGAATATTTAAATTAAGTGCTATTACTAAATAAATATCGAATACACCTTAATTCACTTTTATTATTTATGAGTCGAGTTCAAAGTTATTACACCGTTGGTTTTAATAAAAATAATAGATTATGGATACATTTAAATTATCAACACTAATTTACCATATTCAATGCACCTATTTGTAATTTAATTCATGTACTTTTTACTATATTATACTAATTATAACTACATACATGTAAGTAATATTTTCATTATTCTTAATTTTCAATGTGACGAAATTAAGTAACGCATTCGCTTCACGATATTTTAATATGAAATAATTCATAAGACGGTGCCACAGAAAAATCAAGCACCATAATCTTTAGTACGCACTACATGTGAGAGAAAAATTGCAATATAACAATATTATACAGTATGAATGTACACGATCATTAAAATTACTGGCTATATTCTATTCTGACAATACAAAAACTGTTTATTTACAAAACTTACAAATGCTTATGATTTGTGACGAGTATGAATAAGTCTAACTGCACGGATTTGCTCATAGATGACAGTGGATGTAGGCGGGGTAGGGAGGGAGCAGCGCGCACGCTAGAGGCAGCGCGTGCGCAGATAGCTCTCGCTCGCCGCTTGCTGCTTGCGCCCGGAGCTGCTCGAGACGAAGCTGGTTTTGTCTCTTCCATTTAGTTCTATAAATTGACAGCACTTTTAGGACTACTCCATTTAATTTTCATGACATTTAACAATTAATATGTGTCAATATTAATATTTTTAATAACGCGATGAACCCGGCACAAGCCTGGTAAAACCATTGAATGCTAAGAAGTTTAGTCTCTGTTATTTTATTACAAGAAAGTTGAGGCGTTTATTAACATCTGTAAATTAATTAGTACGTACCTTCTGTTCTGATACCACGTTTTAACTTGTGTTTCACTGAGGTTGAGTGCGTCAGCCACATCCCCCCGGTCAGCGACGCTCAAGTATTTCTGACATCTAAACTTGCGCTCCAAGTAGGCCAGCTGCGCGTGGGTGAACGCTGTGCGACGTCGACGAGGCTTGCGACCGGAGTTCGAGGAACTACCATTACGACCAGACGACTGGCGATCTGATGAAAAACACTGATATTATCTTCTAATACACTTACTTTTAAAAGTAGTAAAATGTCCAGTTTCTTAACGACGTATTTTTATTCAAGTTTATAGTACAATACCTGTTGGATCCTGTGAATCTCTCTGTGAACTACCCGCCATAACGGAAGCAAACCCAGCGAGCAGCTGTGATTGAAATGAGTTTTTTGTCAGGTCCATCGATCTTCCGTAAATGCTGTCCGAAATAGAGCCAGCGATCTCAAAAGCACTTTCCCCCTCCTTGTTCCCTTCTCTTTCTGGTCTATATAACTGAAACAGGGATCCCTCATACAACTTCATGGACTCTTCTTGTCTCTCATATTCATGATCGTCCTCTTTATATGGTGAAGAGAATTCAGAATTGGATATACGATTTGAATTAAACTCTGTTGGTGTTGAACGTTCGTGATCAGATTCAATGCCTTTCGTACAATTGTCATTCTTCCTCTTATAGCTCTCGTTGTCATTGTCATAATTTACTTGAATCTTTTTGGGAGTTGATGTCTCTGAACGATTGTCTCCTACCGATATATCATCATCTATATCGGATTCCTCCGGATTATGCCCTATTGGGGAATCGCACCTGTTTGATGATAATTCCTCGCCATCATTTGCGTTACCTGCGAACAAAAAAAAAAAAAAGTAGTTCATATTTATTTATAGATGAAAGAAACAAAAGCGTTAATATAGTAGAAGAAGACTTCCTCTTCAATACCGCGGAGCAAAGAAACGTGCAGCGCGTGAAACTAAGACTTGACACTTATACTCGCACAAACGTAAGGTGTACAAAAGCGGACCACATAAAGACGCCAGTTTTAAAAAAGAAGCGACCATAGACCGGAGTTTCTGCTCTAATTAATGCCTCGGGGCGTTCCGTTTCGCTCTCAAGCAATTGAATACGTTTTTGAATGGTGTGTTTTAGCGCGCGCAGAAATCTTGTCTATGACTGCGTTTGTGTCTTTTAATTTGCATGAAAATGGTGAGGAGTGGGCATTCACCATTCACAGCGGGTCGCTTTTCATACTTCCACGGCTAAACATTCGTACAGCTGACGTAATGGCGTAGCGGTTGGCGATTACTCGTTATGCTGGGAGGTGAAGAGCTCGCTTCGAGTGTGTCTCTCGTTATAATTTTTGCATAAATATGTTTTAGCGAGCGATCCACCCTCCGGGGTGTGGACTCGAGATCATCTTAACGTTTTCGCATGAATTTCTCCAACCAAAACATCGTTAAGGTTTTTTTATCGTTTGCTTTTATAGTGTACATTAAAACCGTGAACTTCAAATATCAACAACATAAAGAGGATACTCCTTTTTGTTTGTGTGTCTTTACATTATATGATAACAAAAATATTTAACATATTTTTTGCTTTAATTTTATAATTATCTTTTATATTACAATAATCAAGCAAATATTATTTTTAACAACTCATTGTATAATAATTTAAATGAAATAATAATATTTAAATATCACTACTTACACAGAATTGGTTACATGTGAGAAATATTAAAGAAAAAATAATAATTCAGTTTAATTCAAAATGAATTATTTGTTAATACTTTATAAGCAACACCTGAGACATAAAATAACTTTAAAATTATTATACTTTTATAACTGTTATTAAGAAACATATATTCATTTCAATTTTCTGGCTTCACCCCACAACCAATATTTTCTTTCATCGATTTTCCAGTTACTATCCAATAACAATAAGAAATATTTCTATAATATCCTCTTCTTGAACCACCAGAAACTCTGTTGTCATAATATTCACATATATAAAAATATCTCGCACAGATCTCATTTTAAAATGAAAATTGTATAAAAAATACAACAATATATTGTTGAAAATAAATTTTATGATAAAAATATAAAGTCATGCCAGTAAATCTTAGAGAGAGCGAATTTGACGCAAGCAAAATAAAAAAAAAAAGCAGAACAGGTAGACACGTTTTACAATAATTCAGATTTTCCAAGATTATATTTACTGAAAAACATTTATTTTTATACGAAACCTTTATTAACCTTTAATGTAGCCACTTTTTTAGGTAAAAATTCAATAATTATAACACAATTTGATACATTTAAACAGTATTATGCTATAAACTTATTTATTTAAAAATCAGTTAGTATTATGTTTTGAAAATCTTTAAGTAAGGGCCAAATCAGAGGAACGAATCGCAGGAAGTAATAAAACGAAAAACAACTCCATTCCCGATCACTCAATACACCGTCGAAACAATAGAATACAATAAAGAAAATCATTGTAAGTAAGCTGACTGCAGCGAAAGACAAAACAAAGTCTCGTATAATAACAACAAATATATGGAGTATAAATATAATAGGAATATACACTACACTTATAACAGGAAAGAAATATTGAAATAGAAAAGAGACTCAAACAGAAATATTAGAGTCTAGAAGTATCGCAACTAAAAATGTAAAAGAATAATCAAAATATTTTGTTAAATTATTTAAAGAATGACCTTTGTTTTTTGAATCTCGTAAATCAAGAAGAGTCTAAACAATGATGAGTGAAGAGGTTTATATTAAAATTATTTGTTTTACATCAAAATATCGACGTAACAATAGTTTTTCCTAATTGTACTTTATTCACATTTTCATATTGAGACACGAATATTAAATGAAAAGCTGCAAAACGTTCATATTTTTGACAGTGTATGTATATGTTAGGAAGAAATGTAGATAAAATAAATTTATATTTCTTCATTTTTGCGTCCAGAGCGGTATGCCAGAAAATTAAGAAATCGATGGCGGTTGATGATAATTAACAAGACCAACTAACAGACATTCACATCTTTTTTGCCCGTGACCACGGTTGATGAAAAGTGGCCGAAACTTCAGGAGTATGTAGTTTTTCACTAAAATAAACCACTAAGTATATCCGAAAAATTCATTCATTCATTTCATTTAAATGAGTAAAACTTGCAAAAGTCTTACATTCTATAAATAATATATTGTGTTGTTTGTGTCAACTATAATTAATTTTCTTTGGGTCCGCTTGCCGATATCGCCGTCATACCATCTTCTTCTTCTTCTTCTACCTGGCAATTTCCCAGCTATAGCCAGGGTCTGCCTTACATGTTGTGAATATTTTGGCTATTTGTTTTTACGACCGGCCGCCTGCCTGACATCAACCCTCTTTTGGGAATCAACATTAATCAGTGATGTCTAAATACTCTTAGAAAATACATATGACTCAGAAAAATCACATTGGTACTTGCCCGGGCCAGGATCGAACCCGCGCCCTCGGCGACGAGAGGCCGAGAGGCGGGCCTATAGCAAAAGTAACATTAAAATAGTTGTTTAAAAATATTTTCGAATGCTATATTTCGTTTTATTATATTTTGTGTTTTGTTTTTTAAACCTAACTTTTTTATAACTTGCAGCACCGGAGCATTCATGAGTTAAATGAAATGAATTCAAAAAAGTTTTCGCTTTTCAAGTGCCACGTTGAATTTTTTTAGTTTCAACATAGCGAAGAAAACTGACGTAGACAAACCGATGGACCAAAAATATTGTGTTTTTTTTATTATGTAAAAACAGTTTTATCTTATGGTTTTACGTGACTAAAAAAAATAGCGAGTTTTTCGCTTACACGGACTTTGAAACTTTGTAAATCGATACAATATATTATCATTTGTACTTCAAATATTCTATAGCAATTGTAATCTATACAAAAAATATCTACTCGGCCATTGGACACACAAATCAATGTTTCTAAGATTGACAGAAAAATAAACTAACTGTATCTTACATTCACGCAAACTATTAAAATAATAAAAATGATATTCAAAAAGAATAGCTCATATATAAAACTATGACAATATTGAACATTGTTTATGACGTAAAGGTAATTAAAGCAGCACTTCGACAGGTCAAGATTGCCATTTTGTCGCATAATGGGAGGACTAAACAAATGAGCGTTGTATTTGCAAGTGTAATAGCTGATTCCCCGCCGGCCTATTATTCCCCGGCACAAACTCCGTCCAATTATGCTAAATTATTTTTGATTCGACTTTTGTTAGTTGACATGGACTGATGGAAATCAGTTTTTAAACGAGCTATTCTTTTCTATTTAGCATTCAATTATAGTGTTTGGTTGTTTTCGTACTTTAAAAAATTACAACATAAGTAGATTAAAGATTGCTGGCCTCTCCGACCTAATTTTTCCTAATCAATTGTAATATAATAATTAATCCAAACAACCTTCAATTCCAAGAGACTTCATTAATTAATGTATTATGACTGAATAAATAAACTTGATAATGCAAAGGTTGCTTAATACACTGAAAACTGCTTTGTAACTATCACTTGTCAAGAAAGCGGTCAATAGCCTACATCAGAGAGTAGTTTTTGCAATGGTCTACTGATATCATGTATTGATAGTACATGTACACCATTACCATTTTCATTACTTCTTTTACAGCGTTCCTAAGATCGGAAAAGAATTTCAAGGAAATATTTTAGATGAAATGAACACGAGTAAAGAAAAAAAATTCAGAAGATAATATTAAATATATTCTATTTAGCTTGGAATACTTATTGCCATGAGAATTTTTTTTACGCACTAGTAACCGTTCATTACCTAAATATGTAAAAATACCTGTACTTTTATTGTTTTGCTTTAGTTTACTTTAGTTACGTTTTTATTTTCTTTTAATTGTTTTTCTTAACCAATCTTACAAACACTTACACTGGAAGTAAAATTCAATACAAAAGTTTTATATAATAAATTATCATGACCATCGTAAATGCTTTTTGTGATATTTAAATTCTAATAGAAGACTTTTTCTTTACAAATATGAAATAACACGGCACTGCTTCAATGTTCAAAACAGTACTACAAGATCATTAATGTTGATACAAACACGATTAGTTTTGAAATTAAAAAAAAATTGTCAATTTAATGAAACTAACATTTTATGATGAGTACGCGTTATTTTATTATTTTTAAATCTACATACATACTCCCGACGTTTCGATTACTTTGCAGCGACCGTGTCACGGACAGACGAGATCGGTAATATTAGTTTCATTTACATAAATACTAGTGAAAGTCTTGGAATTCATTTAGTCAATTAATTATTTTTATAAACCTAATAACATAAACCTATTAATTTGTGGTGGTGTAGAGGTTAAAGGATCGCCTCTCATGCATGAGGGCGCGGTTTCGAAACCTGGCAAGTACCAATGTGATTTTTCCGTGACATATGTACTTTCTAAGAGAATTGTACAACACTGATAGACGGTTATGAAAACTTCATGAGAAAACCTGAACTTATAGTTTCAAATTATAAGTTTGAGATTGCCAACCCGTCCTGAGCAAGCGTGGTGATTAATGCTCAAACCTTCTCCTTGTGAGATGAGACCTTTGCGTAGCAGTGGGCTATGATAGGCTGACGATGATAGTAATATTAACGCAGAATAAACCAAAATAAATAAATATACTCAAAAGATGTTATGACCTTTTGTTTTTTTAACTTTTTGACTGAATCTGTAAAGTAAATAGGCATTATCTCATGTGACTGAGTAAAACAATAAACTGGAATCATTACTTTTTAATAATCTGTCGTTACGATCGAGGAATGCAAATAAT